AGATACATATCTATGTGATACATAAAATGTCATGCAGGTTTTAAATGTAAAGTGCGTTATAAATTAAATCTATTATTATTATTATTATTATTATTATTATTATTATTATTATTAAATAACGTCACTGTAAGATATATATTCTTACCGGTGGTCCAGGTAATCCATCAACTCCAGGGAGACCACTTTCTCCTTTTTTTCCCTGAAAAACAGACACACCAGTGTTGGCTAATAATAGCATGCAACTATTTTCACTTAACGCTTAATATACAGTAAGTGCTATACTGAGTTATTAATTTAACAGCTTAATGCTGCCTTACAGACATAGTCAACCTGTCACTATACAAAGAAACATATCTGGGGCAAGACTCATCTGGGTCTGTTTTTTAAATATGATGTTTGTGGTAAAAATTGCATTTTGATCAAAATGTCTGTCAGAATCTGCCACGGTGTTGACCCCTACTGCCCCCAGGTGGACTGAGATTGAATTGCTTCCATTTCCAGCCTGGGAACAGACTCTTCCCCACAGCAGGACACTGGTAATTGGTGATGACTGTCAACCAGGGAATGACTGTGTCCCGCGGGCTGGCGGAGGCATCGCGGCCTGTCGGGCTGTACTGTTCTCGAGCTGACAACAGACACTGCTGGACAGCTCCGGAGGCAAGCCAGAGCGCATGGAAACCAGACAGAATCACAACACACATCTTGTTTTGCTCTTGAGTGGAAATCCACTTAGACTGTCTGGTCCGTCTATGCTCAGGATGGATGATTTCCGTTAAGGGGCTCATGAAGACATGACAAATGCCCAAGCGGAAGACAGAGCTCTGGATATGAAGCAGGTTTTCCATCCGTAAGACAATCACTGTACAGCACTGCATAGCAGTCACTGGGTGTGCTAGGAGATGGTACACTGTCCACACATGCTGTGCCCTGTTTCTTAAGACGTCCTGAAAGAATGCTGAGCAAGTGAGATTTGCCTGAAAAATCATGTTGTACAATCTGTTCCTATATTCTGCTGATAAGCTCAAATTTACAATGGATTAATTTTCTTTATTAAGTGGAAAACATGGGGAAAAAATCAATAATGATTACTGAAAATTATGACAAAATATGCCTATGAAAGCTTCTAACTAAAGACAGGAAAGGCCATCTTTGGTGATCTTTCATTAATTACCCACCACACAATATTTGCCTGACTGAAAAGTCTGTCTGAGAATAACCATGAATAAGACAGTAAAATCCATACAATCTTACCCTATGGCCAAATTCCCCAGGCTCTCCAGGAAGTCCTGGAGGACCTTGTGGACCCTAAGAGGAAGAAGGAAACACCTCACAATCTTTTCCTCATTTATAGAGCACATAGAGAGGATAAATATTGCCTGTTTTTTAATACACGCTTGGCTAACAGCCATTCCGGCTGCTGCCCTCTGCTGCCCTCTGGTGGCTCACTGAGTGGGTCCTGCAGCTGTTAACACGCTACGCTAACTCCATGCTCTCACCGGTGCTCCAGCGGGGCCCATTGGGCCCTGGGGGCCGCTAGGTCCAGGGGCTCCCTGCAAAAACAACAAACACTGAAGGTAAGGCAGATGCCCTCATTGTGAGGACAACAGGAGTCATTCAAAATGAACCAAGATGTTTTGACTAATTACTAATTACATTAGCTCAGAGTTACTTTGTATTTTTGGTTTTTATACCTAGGTTTGTAAGTTAACATGCATTATAGATGTCAGGGATCATATGATATACTTACAGGCTCTCCTTTCAAGCCCCCTCTATGAACCTAAGCAGTGAAATGCAAACAATCAAGAAACAGCAGGGGGCAGATTTGTTCTCTTCACAAATATGATGTTGATGTGTTTTGCTTGCTTTTTTCCCCTGTTGGCCAGCAAAGCAATTTGACTGCGTCTGAATTCAGGGGCTGCATCCTTCAAAGACCGAATGCGTCACAGCGGCAAGACAAGCCTGTCGCATTTTGAAGGCCCCTTCAAATGCGATCTAAAAATACGTCCTTCTTTTGCCGAGTTGCAAAGGATCTACCTGGTGGGTCCTTTGCAGCCCAACATATCCCAAGATGCATTTCGCAGACCTTCGAAGGACACAGCCTTACAAAGGCTACGTAGACCGCGTCCTCCGAAGGATGCAGGCCCTGAATTCATGAGCTCATGAACCTGCAGATCTAAGTGGCACTAAACATGACAGTGATGCTGGAAGGTGTGCGATTCGCTCACTACTTACCACATCCCCTGGTAACCCTCTTTCTCCCTATGGAAACAAACAACATCAACAAATAAAGTGCAAAAAACAGTTTCATAAACAGAAGCATCGTCTGCAAAAAGTGCAATTTTGTGAGGGGAACATAATTTTGGGGAGAAAGACCTCTGGCAATCATCTACAGACATGGAGATGAAACTTCTGCGCCCGCTCTTGGTCAGAAGCCGTAAAACACTTTTTATATGCCACAGAGCATCAGGGGGTGTTCAAACATGTCGGAGCATGGCAGTGCCCTCGAGGAAGTTTATATCGTGCCTGTAGAATGAACCCCCCCCTAAGATGCACCTTAAAAAAGCAGCCATACCATAATTACAGGCGACCAAATCATATCCTTCAAATGTCTTTCTAAACAGACAAATGACAGGGCATCTACCGAGAGGGAGGAATGTCTGGGACATCATAAGGAGCAGACAAGTCTCACGCCACGGTCGATCTATGTGACGTCATGTGCCAGATCTCTCCTACTGTATGTCACCCCCTTCAGGGAGCTGTTTAATCTATCAATCTGTTACTATGTTAAGTGATACTCGCGGTGAGCTTTTCACAGCTTAATCGGGCTTTGTCACCTGCCCTGTGACCCAATGGCAGACCTTGACAATACTGTCAGGTATAAGCTCCCTCCCTTAACAAATCACCCAGCCTCCAGAGACCATCATGCACTTGTGGGTATAGATGTAACCACCAGAAATCTACCAATTAGAGTGGATATCAAGCAAATTCAGAAGAACTGTAGTGGCTTTGAGAGTATTTTTGCAAACTCAAAAATTATCATTAACCAGTTAATCCATTGCATTCATTTTCCAGGCCATTTTCCCCCATTGTCTTTCTCCCAGCTGGACGCTTTGAAGAGCAATGCACTGAATCAGACACGTACCTTTTCGCCTTTGGGTCCGACGGTGCCAGGTGGCCCAATCAGTCCCCTGGGTCCCTGTTATGAGTATTTGGAAAGAGAAACACAGGCTGCATCCTATCCTTGTGTATTTGCCGTGCCTCATACTGCAAACCAGCACAATAATACATAAACAGCCATAAACGGTATTATAAACAAAAGTATGGCAGGATTACACTTCAGTTTCTTTAAACATGATCCATATTTTAAGACAAATACTGATAATTGCTTGATTTCGTAATTCAGTTCAATAATTCATTGCAAGACAATTAACTGTTTGCTTCCAGAAGAGAACTGAAGGTCCAATAGGACAAATTAATCTGTACATTCTAGGAAGGTTGGATGTTTTATGAGGTGCATAAAAAAATTAAAGAACATACGTCTTTTCCCGGATGACCTGGCTTTCCTGGCAATCCATCCAAACCAGCAGTTCCCTACAAAAAAACATGGGGAAAATCATATATTTCGCAAGACTTTGACAGCTTGAACAGTCAGAAGACAGATGAATGGATGGAGACAGAGGTGGAGATTTCAGGTCCAGAGAGTACAAATCCAGACCAAGATTTTGTTTCAACCAACCAGTTGACTACTCTGTGACTATGACTTTTTAAACTCAACTATTTGGTTGAAACAATATCTTGGTCTGGATTTGTACTCTCTGGACTAGAAATCTCCAACTATGGATGGAGGAAAGTTGTATTTTGTTAACCAGAGGGTCTACCTGACCACAAGAGGGCAACCTAATCCACTTTTGCTGTATGGCAAGGGTACTCAAATGGTGGACTCCACAGAAACATAATTTAATCCAGGCTGCATGATCAAAAGTCCATCTACCTAGAGGAACCCTTGCCTTTGTGTGGCTGATGAAATTTGCACCTCGGAGGAAAAGAAAACTGAGCGCCCCGAATCTGTGGTGTGACATGGTAAGAACACAAAGTAGACAAACTCTCAGTTTAGGGCTAAGCCAAGTGATTAAAGGATAAGCAGGGATAAGCCAGCTGATTGAGTCTTATTTGAGGTCCTAATTAAAAAGGATCAACGGTCAGTCCTGAATGTTCTGGTGATTCTATAATTTTCAGAATTGCTTGGTGTCATTGTTTGGTGTCAGAGACCAATAACCGGGAATTGAGGTCAGAGATGATCCAGCTACACATGTGATCATGCTGTTATGTCAAAAAGCAAAGCAGAGAAACTGAAGACATATTTAAGGATGTTACCCTCACGGAGTTCCCCAGAATTTAATAAGATGGATGTCAACTGTCAACTGGTTTGTACCGATACATGCCGTCATTTCTCTCATATTATCCTTCTCAGAATAGCCCCCCCCCCCCCCCCCCCCCCCCCCCCAAAAAAAAAAAAAAAAAAAAACAGGTACTTATCACACTGTGGGGGCATTTGGTCCCCAAAATGTAATATATACCTGGGCCACACACACACATAGGAGATGGTATCTAAACCTCCCACCCAGG